CCACTATCGACGATAAATAAATTGTTATCAGCATCAAGCATAATACTAGTTGGCTTATCAAGAGCAAAGCGTTCTCCTAATGTTCTTCCTGCTACTGTTATGCCTTTCGATTCGCCATGATGAAATAGTTGAATTCTATCATTTCCTGTATCGGCCACATACAAATTATAATTATCGTTGACATATATTCCAAAAGGTTGATCAAGCATATCTTCTGTTGAACCAGCACAACCCATACCTGCAACATTCGACCATGTACTATCATTACTATCAAGTGATATTTTAACAACTTGATGACCATCGCGAATAGAACAATAAAGAGTGTTGTCAACATGAATAAAAAGACTAATACATCCTCTATTGATATACAGTGTAGTGTTAGTGGATGTTTTATCTAAGGACCATTTACTGATATGACTACTATTTCCATTGTCGATATATATGTCGCCAGTAAGTGTAACGAAGAAGCCAGTTGAAAAGTTATAACTACTACAAATTGTTTTTGTTGGATTTTCACTTTTTTCCAGCCATATATGAATAGTTTTCGTTGTTTGATCAGCTACATAGAGAGTATTATTAATACTAATGAATGAAGTAAAAGGACTTAAATCTGTAGTAGAGCTGTTGGCAACTATGATTCCACTCGAGTACCACGATGCACATTCACTAAGTTTTGGTTTATTGACAAATGAAGCTATGAAACAAAGCAATTGCATAAAAAACACATAGAAAAAAAGATAATTTTTTTGAATCGTTTCTTTAAAAATGAAAATATGAGGGAAAACGTACTTTTCATCAATTTGAAATGATTCGTTCAAATTTTCAGAGGCCACACAGTTTTCTAACTCTTTTCTCTCAAAGAAATGTTGCTAATAGTAAACATAAAATGCATATATGTAGAACTATTTCAGTATATTTTAGTTTTCGTGAAAAGTCTCTTTCATATTAGGATGTATGTTCTGCAGTCTAATCTTCGCTGTTGATAGTAGACATGATTTGTCAACTTCATTAGCAAATATGTTTGTTAATAGACAAACTCTTCTCTAAAATATCCGATGAGATTAAAACAATTGTTAATCAAAATATCCATCATATATTAAAGAACAGTCTTTTTGATTTTACAAATGAATATTTATCAACAACTATGAATCATAAAATTCGTAGCGATTTCATTTAACAGTTATATAAGAAGAAAATTTTTCTTCTACCGAATATACACTTAAAATGCATTATGGAATAAAAAACCGAAAATTCTCAAAAACTGTTTTTTCACAAGTGTTCTAAATTTTTTTTCTGATAATTTGTTTCATTAACATTAAATTCGTTGGCCAAACTCCGATTCCTCGTGAAAAGAGGAATCAGCAAATACGATACTTCATATTCAGCTTGAAAAATACTTCGATCGCATGAATAAGAGAGAGAGCTATCTTAGTTTTGTGGCTGTTCTATGAAGCGAAACCGCTCGATATGATAACATAATGTATTCAAGAGTGTCATAGTTGCTGTAGTACCTTGAAAATACCGGGTTCTCAGCATTTTTGATATAATCAAAATACAAAATCAGCTTAGTGAAGCAGTTTTCCAGTCATGACTCATAAGACCAGAGAAGGCGAAAATCTGTAGCTTTGACGAAAAGCTAGCAATAATATGAATTAAATGCTGAGTTTGAATCTGAATGTAGGTTTGAGCTTGTGGTGTCAATAGAGTCTCTGTGTATGTGAATGGGGTTGAACCTTAGTGACAGATCTTTCATTTCAGAAACAAGTCATATTAAAACAACTCTTTATTTTTAAATCTATAAAAGGTATTCGAAGCTAAATGATATAATACTTACTACAAGAGTCTTTTGATAAAACAAACTTCTGAATACCATTCATGTATTGATTTGTAATAAATATGTTTCCATAGCTATCAAATGCTGCAGTTAAAGGATGACATAACTGATTAGGTTCCCGGCATGATGTCTTTGAACAACCAATTAAACATCGAAACCCATTCGCTCCTACTCGAACGATACGTTGATTACCACTATCAACGATAAATAAATTGTTATCAGCATCAAGCATAATACTACTTGGCTTATCAAGAGCAAAGCGTTCTCCTAATGTTCTTCCTGCTACTGTTATGCCTTTTGATTCTCCATGATGAAATAGTTGAATTCTATCATTTCCTGTATCGGCCACATACAAATCATAATTATCATTGACATATATTCCAAAAGGTTGATCAAGCATATCTTCTGTTGAACCAGCACAACCCATACCTGCAACATTCGACCATGTACTATCTTTACTATCAAGTGATATTTTAACAATTTGATGACCATCGCGAATAGAACAATAAAGAGTGTTATCAACGTGAATAAAAAGACTAGTACATCCTCTATTGATATACATTGTAGTGTTAGTGGATGTTTTATCTAAGGACCATTTACTGATATGACTACGATTTCCATTGTCGATATATATGTCACCAGTAAGTGTAACGAAGAAGCCAGTTGAAAAATTAAAACTACTATAAATTGTTTTTGTTGGATTTTCACTTTTTTCAGGCCATACATGAATAGTTTTCGTTGTTTGATCAGCTACATATAGAGTATTATTAACACTAACGAATGAAGTAAAAGGACTTAAGTCCGTAGTAGAGCTGTTGGCAACTATAATCCCACTCAAATACCAGAATGTACATTCACTAAGTTTTGGTTTATTGACAGATGAAGCTATAAAACAACACACACATAAAATAATATACGAAGATGTTTTTCTAACAATTTTTCTTTTGATAATGGAATTATGAAAAAAAA